ACGCTTTGTGGCTGAAAACTCTTCTGTGTGCAGTTTGCCACAAGTAAAAGCCTAGCTTAACCCTGGTTATATTCATTTCATTTTCTCATATATTTAATCGAAATGAAAATCAACGCTTTTCCGTTAACTTCTGAGGACAACGGCACCAGAAGTGGCCTCATTGTGAAGGTTATGGATGACGACATTCCTACGGCACAAACTTTTTTTTCGACTGATTGCACGTGATGGCGATGAATTCCTTGTCAAAGGAGTTACCAGTTGATAAAGGAAGACTAATTCTTATAAGATTGGAACAAAGACAGTAATATCTTCGCAGCCTCACAGAACCACATTATGTTATAACCATTAACTCTGGATGGCATTTACATGTGTTTTTATACATCAATATCTGTTATATACCTGTACTATTCTTAAAATTTGTACTTTAGAGCGATTCGCCGTATACTATGGTGCAGCCTCATGACCTAGTTCAGTTTCTCCGTCAGGAAGGTCGGGTGTTAAAAGCGGAGCAAGCCAAAAATCAACTCATCAATCAGAAGGTTCAGTATTATTATACAATCTTTTCTTTTGCTTATTGCTGTTCCTGTTCAAAATGCGTTATTACTTCAGAACATCATTGACACTCATGAAAGCCAAGATGATCCGCAAATTGAGTCGCGGCTAATGAAAACTGACCCGGACTGCGTAACAGCTGGTACCCCGCTTCCGCTTCAAGAACTTTTCATGTCAACCGCAGTACCATTTGAACACATCGATATAAAGTTCGTATTTGCTTCATAAATCGCAAATATTTGCCAATGTTCGATCAATTAGACAAAGTTTGTTTCATTTTGTTTATTTATTTTTCAAAAATTTAATCGCTGATCCTTGGAAATGTAAAGAAACAGTCTTTATAACGATATAAATTTAAGTTTTGAGATATACTGATAACAGTCGACGCTTAAAAATAATATTCTCTTTCGTTTGTAACTTTCTACAGAGAAAGCGTAACATAACAGAGGTGCATACACTTTGGTGATAGCCATTAGCGCTATCACGCTATTCGTTTTGGCAGCGAACCGACACCGAGCTTTTAATGTCTTTATGTGTAGTTTGTGACTGGGTAATCTTAAGGCGATTGATCAGTAAATTGCGCTGCTTTTATGACATGCTTTCAAACCAATCTCCAGTTCGCCTTGGGTAATCTTGTTCAACGCGATCAACGGAGCATGTTGCTGTAATAATTTATACAGTTTGCGACGTAGTTATCCGTTTATCCCGAATCTAGCATATTCGAAGTTAAAGGGAGTCCGTGGACTAATAGAAGTTCTAGACGAGATGCTGATTATCTTTGCAGTCTTATTAGGTAATTGGTAGACATTCGTCTTTTGATATCCCATGTTGTCTGACAGTCTAGGCTTTCGTTTATGACAAGTCTAGGCGACTTCAGTGGTTGGGAATGCTGAGCTAATGTGCTATCATTCGTTAGTAATTCTACACTATTCATTAGTTTCGTTGAGGAAGTTGCTATATGGGCGATTTCAAGTTCAAAGCATTATGGTTGGTGATGATGCAGTTTTTCTTGAACCACGATGGTTATTCTTCCTATGAATTTTGAAAACCTCACAACTCTCAGTCGTTTTGATTGACCTAAATTGATACCATATTGTCATTTGAGTACCGCTTAAATTTTTGGGTTGAAGAGGCACACGCGTCAGAGAACGTTTCCAACGTTCCTGATCCTGTGTCCTTGTCTGATCTTTGGCAGAAGGCAAGTTCGGACAAAATGAGCGGCATAAAAGGCAGTGCTGAACACTACAGAAGGCTGATATTGTCATCATGATATGGAGTCATTATTTTCAATGGATATGGGCAAGAATTATGTCAAATCACTATGCTTAATGCGTACCGATGTTATAGCCATAGTGTCTTGAATGCCCAAAACGTTTAAATCGAATGCAAGTTACTTTTTATGGTTGAGAAAGTCGGGTAACTTTTTAATGTGAACATTTTGGACATACAAGACACCGCTCAGGACATCGCTGACATAATGTCCATTGAATCGGAGGACTTGTTATTATGCTGGCTCTGACAGCCTGAAGTGCGCAGTATTGTTTCTTATGCAGTTCATCTTCGTAACATCGATATTGAGGACACGTGACACTGTAAAGTGTCCTAAATATACTGACTGTGATTCTGAGGTAATCTTCTGCCGACGCTCATATACTAAGACAAGATCAGGAAAGTTAGAAAAACACTATCTAACACATCTGCCTCCGCGATCCAAGGAGATAAACGCCAATCGAAACTGATTGACAATATGGTATTGATTTCCACCATCGTCGACGATTCAAATTTGTATGGTTTTCAAAACGCGTATGAACTAGTGCCTCTGCCGTCAAAGAACACCTGTTTCCTCAACACTTAGAATGAAAAAAATTATTGCAAGTTCCTCCAAGAAACTGATGAGTGTTGTAGGCATGGACTAGTGGCTACTTCGACAAGTCAGTTTTTTGAGGTTACCTGCGCTTGTCATCAACGAAATCTTAGACTGATCAGACCACAAGATTTATAAGGTGTTTAACCTTTCTTTCGTACGTGTGACAAGTTGGATTAAGTCCATAATTTTCATGCTTTTGCGTGATTGCACTGCATAAAAATTTTAATATTGCGCAGTTATTCTTAATGTCGGAAAGAAACCCGGTGGGAGATATGAACAGGTCAGTTATTTTATTTTGGTTTACTTTCCCAAATCGTTGAGTTTACATTAACCTCACTTCGTAATTGTATCTCAGTTAACGCTGTTTAATTTTAGAGTAGAAACTTATCTTGGAAAACCGCGTTCAGCACCCAAGGTGTTGGCCAAGGAGCCGTTTTGTTCTCACTATTTCCAGCTGGATTTTTCGATGGCTTCATTCTTGCATTTAGAGGTGCGGTAGCCATTGAATGTTCTTAACATGCTGACTTTTCTCATGATTCGCACACAGACAATCGCCAACCTGTCCAAACTGTCCTGCGTCCCGGAACGGGCGTTGCGTGATCTTTTTTTCAGTGACTGGCCGTCGCCGTCTGACTTTGGAAACGCGGTGGCTGACGCGCTTGAGAAAGTAAAACCATGACAATGCTCTCTTGCTTCTACCATGATGTACCTGAATATCCATGTACTTCCCGAATTTAGCACTCGCGGTCATGGATTCTTTACACGCTAGCGTCTTACTACTGGCGTTATGTGGGCAACGGCGAAGAAGCGATCGAATGCCTAAAGCGCGCCTTGCACTTCTCAAGCAGGTGAGCAAAAGAAAAGTTTTTTTCTGTGATTTGTTTTTTAAATCTGTATCTAGAAAAAATATCGTCGTACCGTTGTTAAGTTTGATAAACGTCCTTCATCACGGCCAGAGCAAGGATTCAACGATCGTCGTCGACGTTGCACTGGCGTTTAACAGCACAGTCGTTCCGCTGTTGGTAACCACTGCGCATGTTTTTGCGGTACGAATTATTCTGTGCAAAATTTTGTTTTCAATTGTTTAACGGGACAGGAGCGACGTAGACTTAGAGAAATTGTCGATTTAAATATTCAGTTAAGATTTAATTCAAGAAATTTTTCCGACATGACGCATATGCTGATAACACCGCTGTTTTTCAAGCAAAACAGAAAATAAGCCAACTATTCAACTCATTGAATTTTCTTCCGCGTTTGCAACTAATTTTTCCTGAAAAATGCAACCCCTTACGTAACATTTTTGGACTGGTTTTATTGCATTCCAATTCAATCCAAGTAGGTAAAGTGTAACCAGAGGTCTCAGGTTCGAACCTCTGTCAGATTACTCGCCTTTTTCCTATTTAAGGTTGATGAGAGAGTGCCACATTGTGGGTGTGGGAAGGAAACAGGAGAGTACACACTATCATCGCTACATAGCTGCTGTCGATT